TGAAAAATAAGGAGCTCCGCTGTCGAAGCCTATGAGAAATGCATACACTGGGGGAAAATAGCCCCGCCTTCCCGCAGGCTGCAGCGGGATGTACTTGGAAAATTGTACCATAAAACCACATAGCGTTAATCTCACGTTAAAAAAATTATCGCCGTTAAAATGGCCTCGCGTTAACGCGATAATAACGCGATAATTTTGACAGCACTAATATATATATATATATATACATAAAGTGCTTGACAAGATAAAAAAAAAATCTGAAAAAAATCAAACCAATAAAATTCAAGGTCCAAAACATAAGACTGTATAACTATAACCACGATATCATTTTTGTAACTGCTCAGTATTTTTCAGGCTATATATGTTATGCTATACTTTAGATTGTCTCGTTTCTCTTTTTTTTTCATAAATATATTTCTTTTCACTTGTTGCTGCTGTACCTAAATATACTAACTGTGGAAAAAATAGCAAGTTTTTAATCTTTTGATTGAATAAAACCAAAAGGTATGTTTTGTTGTTTTTTCTTTAACAGGTATTTCATGTGAAGTTTCACTAGAGGGACCCGGAAATTCAATCAACACACAGGAATGCAAAGCAAAAATAAGGATTTAGTTAAGCTCCAGCACAAAAGCGAAAATCAAAGCCGGGTGTGGCCAAGTGAGCCAAACTTGGTGGTGCATGGATGTGGGGAAAGTTCTTCATGTATTTCTGTCCGTCCTCACAGGCATTTCACTTCCTATGTGTTAGCTTTGATCAATTCAAAGACAGACAGAGGTAATACACAGTAGAGCAGAGAGCTGGGTACCACTGTAAGGAGAAAGCAATCCAGAGTAATCCAAGGGAAAGGCAGAGGTCGAGGTCCAGAGTGAAGAGCTCAGGCAACATTCCCACAATGAATGCGTTCAATAATCTGCCACCAAAACTCTGGATGAGGGGTTTATATAAAGGGGTGAAGTATGTGAGCTGAATGGAAAACTCAGGGCAGGACAGGTAAATGGTATGAAGCGTAATTAGGTGAATATTACAGTGTCCTCCTTAAGGTCTCGCTCCAGAAGGACCACCAGGTTGGTCTGGGTGGTCACAATGAAAGTTTCTGATTACCAATATAGCCAAAATTTGTCGAGAAGGAATCCATGAGCACTCCTCTGGTCCATAACCCTCCTAGTCGACTAGGTAGTGCAAACCACGTTCCCATCTCCTGGAGCAGAGGATGCACCTGACAGTATAGACTTGTCCCCCATCGAGGAACCAGGCAGGAGGAGGAGCTCTGGAGGAGGGACAGAGGGGGAGGCGAAACAGCCACATGATTAACAACCTTAATGATGCCTATTTCCTATTCTTCACCTGTAGGGGAGGATCCTCAGTGGACAGCCAGACCTTCTGGCCCTTAAGGTATGTAGGTGCAGGAATCCTGTGATGATTGGCTAACCTAGAATACACAGCGGAGGTAGTTAGAAGAGCACTATAGGCGTGTTACCATACCACTTGGCAGCAACTGGTAAAACAAAAAAATCGTAGTGTAAAGAGGGGTGGTTGACTGTGTGTAAAGGTGATAAGCCAGTGGCACTTGAAGGAGAGCTTGTTCCACCCACAGCAGATTCTAAGACTACTTATTAGGGTCCTGCTCACATAGTATGCATCTTTGTATGACTCGTTTTACAGTCCAACATTAGTTTTATTGTTTTTTTCTATTTTTATTCTCAGAAACTAGAAGGTGTAATCTTTCAAATGATGCATCACAGTTGTAGTTTGTTCCCTCCAAAGTATTTGCAATGATCTTAAACTAGGAGCCAATATTTAGCAAGACAGACCAGGCTTCATGTTTTGTTTAAAATAAAGCCTGTCTAAAATCATCCTGGTCTGTCACACAGCGAATGGATGGGCATCTGTGGGGCGGATAACCGGATTCTCTGCAGATATAGGAAACACAGGTCAGTGACTGGAAACAGTCCAGGTTCAGTAACCAACAGAATCCAGGAAAACAGTACCAAAATTAAGCAGACAAGGACAAGGCAAAAACTCGAATATCCAAAGCTGAAAACAGGTTATAATCAGAATAACAGACAAACTCACTTGATGCTAGAGTTACTCTCACCACAGCTTGAATAATCTGGTGCTGATGGAAGGCAGGCAAGCAACATAAATAACTGAGGGAACCATGGTTTAAACCATCGGCGTTAATCAGCCGCCGGTCCAATTAGACAGGGGAGCAGGAACAGATGAAAAAGCCAACCATTAGCGCCAAGACCATGACAGTATTGCGGCGTATAAACTAGAATTTTAATTCAAACGTCGCGGTCAGCTAAGAGGAGGGGTATAGGCTACTGATGATGCGTCACGTTGAACCAATACACACAATGATCTTCTTTTATTTTCCCATCTCACGTTCTTAATACAAAGCAGTACTTACATTGATGAGTCGTGGATGGATTCATTGGACGGTGCATACATGACGCTCAACAGGTGACAGTGTCTACCGACGTGACATATGTCTGCACATCCAGCCAGATATGGGAGAATACTATCAGAAGAGCACAAAATGACCCTATAAAAAGTAATGTCTCCTACATCCTTCTTTTGGCAAAACATACTCTCCTACAAGAAACCACGTCTGGCTTCTATTAAACTGCTCCTATTTTGTGTTTAACCTCGTTTCGCTGTCTAAACATTCATGCTCCTGGTTCTATGTGTGCAGCCATCTGAGAAAGAGGTCAATGGGTTTACATGGCCTCAAATAATCTCTATATCACAACGATTTAGCTGTATACAAAATATGATTGGAACTGTTTGTAAGTTTGCATTTTGCAAGGTCTATTTTGCTAAGACGTGGCTAGCGTCTCAAGCTTTCACTACAAAGCTCTGTGTGGAGTTTTGGCTTGCATGATATGTTTCGTCAAAAAATATGGGAGATAAACTAAGGAAAACAATTACTTATTGATCAAAGTTGGTCAAATAGGATTTTTAGTACAGATATGGTCTGCTTGTGTTTTCTTTATATTTAGAAATTTCCCAGCTGCTATGACAACTTTATTTAGACATTGTATATTTTTCTATTGAATTAGTAAAGTTAAATTTACCCCATGACAACTAAGGAAGAAAGTTTTCTTTCAGCAATTATATTCAGGACTATTGAACCTTCCATTCTCATTTTCCTTAGTACTTCAGCATTTACAATTATTTATGTTATTTCGATTTTCTGAACATTTGACATCCTTACATCCATTCATTACATGCACTATGTTCCCTTCTACAAGTGCAATTTATTTTAGCATCTTGATTATTTTCCCTATTGTACTCCTTTGACTGCATATATAAAATGTTGTTCTCTTGCTAATCAGAGGAATGGTACTGCTTGATTTGCACTTTTATGGCTCACATTTACCTTCTTCGCTAGTCAAAGCCTGTGTTAGACATTAACAGAGGGGGATCATAGGGGGAAACAATGAGAGAGGAAGGTGATATCACTTTATGGTGGTCTAAGATGCAAATTTAAAATTCCTGTGTTCAGCCACTACTGTAAAGTTCTGCCCCAAATGTACGTGGCAATCAATTCTTTGTGTTGATCACTTATGGTTGAATGTGGCCATATAGAAGATAGAACATGAGGTTGAACCGCTTACACAAGCACTGAGGTACAGCTGTGACCATAAAAGGGAAATTGCAAGCTGTTGACTGTGCTCATTGCTTTTTAAATCAGTTATTTATTTGGCATAAGCCATGGTTTGCTTTTTAGCAATAATACCCTTTTATTATAGACACTATGCAGTGTTTTATAAACGTCTGGTCTACGCCTATGAATTTAGGGACAATTTCACAAACTTTATAACTGTCATTTTATCAGGAACTTTAGGTTTGTCCAAGATTCAAAATCAGCGAGATCAATCAGACTGTCATGTTCTTTTTAAGGGATCTGACCCACATGCAGGAAACCACTCAGAGAACCAGAGAAAAGGTTTAGCAGGTTTATTGAAAACACGATGAGTTAGATCCAGTGTTTCTCAGAACGCTGATGAACCGGAACTGGAAGTGAGAAGGGAAGTTCAGTGTTTAGTTCACCCGCAGTGGGAAACCTGAGCGACGACTTGCAAAAACAGAGACTGAAACGGGACTCACGTTTCCAGGGAAAAGGTGTCCTTCCCAGAATCCAGTCGGTGTGGGTTATTCCAGAACTTGGTTGGCTCGTTGGAGGGCGGACAGTGTTTACTCGAGTTTGGTTGGTTTCTGAGGAGCGATGGAGCTGACTGCCACTTAAATTTCCTGAAGTACTTGAACGGTTTGTGTGGAGATTTATCCCCTGCTCAATGTGAAGCTCAAACGATCCTTCCAGGGGGAGAAGGTCAAAACATCCAGTTTTCAGGATGACTTCCCAAAACTGGCAAACACTCTGGCGTCGAGGTAGTGGCAGTCAGCAGCTTAAGAGTCCTCAGATAATGAGGCAACCATCCGCAGGTGTATGGAAGGGCCAACGAGAACCGGGCGCCACCTGGTGGTGGAGGGAGAAAACACAAACACACAACCCACACAAACTGGATTCCTAACAGACTGTCTTTCTTGTATGTTCAAAAAAGATTAATTCCTCAGTAAGAAGTGGTTCCAAAAATAATTACTTGTAAATAAAGAACTAGAAAAGAGTTGAGCTCATTTACACAGTTAAATTTAATTGTACAATACAAGGAGAACAGAAACAGCATGGAACTGCTCTGTATGGAACACAATATGATCATTATTATATGTGAAAGCATTATTCACATTTAAGTGATTTGCCACCAATTATAAGATATACTTTTTATATATTTAATTAGCAATGTTAAAAAAAAAACACCCAGTGGAATAAAACAGTTTTTAACAATTGGAAACAGCTTTAATTATTTATGGTGCAGACACACTGAACGTGTTTACAGCGACTTTATTGCTTTACATATCGCCAGCAATGCTCTTGACATGCAAGACACTCTGCTGCTGTTGCTAAATTATTATCCTATATGTTGATTTGTAGAATCATGTAATACCCCATAAATAAAACTATTATACAGCTGATTTTGTTCCCTCATTATTGATTTGGCTTAAACACTGAATCATACATAAAAATTTGCATCATTAAGATTTAAGTCGACGCTGACTGAATTTCAGGAAATCATCTCCGTACTGGATGATGTGCTTCATGGCGCTAAGAATCAGGGTGTCGAAATCCATTTGCATGTTGATTTCCTCGTGGTAGTTTCTTACAGGGAACATGCAGTTCATTGGGATGCCCACATAAGCATTCACCTTTAGCATCTAAAGAAAAAGAGAACATAAATCATGTTTGTTTAAAAAAATCTAAGTTAAAGGTTCTGATCTTTTAGTTGGGCACCATAAATATTTGGTTAAGTGTTTAAGGATTACTATAAAATGTCAGAAATTTTAACTATGTTATTAGCGCATATATTTTTATGATTTGTCTCTGTGTGGTGTGACCATGAGGCTGGTGATGTGCAACATTCACAAGTATGGAATAAAGGATTTTCTCTGAATGAATAAAAGTATTGGCTGTTTTAATTTCAGTCAGAAACAAAACTATGTGAGGAAAGTATGGTCTTTGCCTGATGGATTTTTTTTGTCTGCAGATGATATTGTAAATGGCGTAAAAACACAGAATCTAATTATACTAAATATAAGTAAAGAAATATATAGAGCAAATTACCTCTTCCTCCTGTAAAAGTGTTAAAACATGATTTTATAGCTGAAAAATAATACTTAAAATAGGTTTAATCTTTATAAAATATTTGTAATAATACATTTTTTTTTTATTTAAAGCATGAATCAAAACATCCAAGTTCAACACCTGGAAGCACGGGTGAAACTTTGTGATGAAAGTTGGTGGTTTTTGTATTTTCCAAAAATTAACTCAAACATATATTTATTGAATGCTTTGCAATTGTTGAGAACACAAGAAAAGCATAATACACTTATATTTATAATTTTTTACTAATATCAAAAGATTGAAGAACATTCTGCTGGATATAAATGGCTTCCTCGAAAGATGGGAGTGTAGAGCATTATTCTGGTAAAATGTGGATTCTAATGAAAACATCATACAATACAGTGAGCTCTAGCTGCTAATTTGTGATTAGTAATATCTGTTTAAGTACTTTACATACTCCTCTGTCAGTGTCAGTGAGAAAATATTTTATCCCTTAGAAGACGATTAAGACCATCATTGGAGAACCTGATATTTCAGCTGTCTGAAGAATTCCCCTCTCAGAGAACAAATTAATCTAGCAAAGCTTTCATTGTTTTTATTCCTTTCATCTTAACTGTTGTGAATTGGACACATTGGTTATTCGTTTTTTCCATTTTCGATTAGTGCAGAGAAATCGGTAAACAAGATAGCAGTTTATTGTTTTGGTGAAATAAATGAAAAATGTAAAGTATAATGTGTTTTTTCATTTTTGGTTTCAAAGATAAAACTAACAGCATCACAATACACACATACCATTACATTAAGTTGTTTTTCCTGAGATAAAACAAGTTTTTTCTGCAGGTATTTCATGTCATGATTTTATGTTTAATCTTTTTCATGATTTCATTGCATTTTCTGTAATGTTTTTGTTCCTTCTGTGTTTTGTTCTATTTTGACTCCTTTTACAGCACTTTATGTCTTTGAAAGCTGCTTTACAGATAAACCATTTTACTTACAACATACAGCATGTAATATAATGTACCATTATATACCATGTATTCACTTTGGGATTCCTCTTCCCTAAATGTAAAGCAGTACACCTATTTTTAAAGAACTTCAAAATTGCACTAGTAGTTGTGTTACTTATCAATGAAATTATTGGTGAAACTAACCTTTTCCTTTATTTCCAGAAACCTGTAGACATTCCTCACATCTCTTTGTATCTCAGGAAAGAGAGCATCAATTTTGGTCAGAATAGTCACCTGTGCAATATCTGTAAGTGCAGATAGAAGAATGACATTATTACTTTGCAAATGCAAAAGGGAATTTCTTTTCTAATAGCACAACCACAATCTAAGCTATTAGTAAATTTACTTTATGCATAAAGTAACTTTAAGCATAAACTATTTAAAGTTCTAACTGCAATGCATCCTATGAATGCATATGTCTGTCAACCAACCAACCAAATCAGTCAGCAGGTCTGTCTCTCTGAATATATGAACATTCATTGTTCACCCAAGTTGATGGACAAAAACATAAAATCCAAACTTCTATGACATCGGCCCTACAAGAAATTATTTTAAAGTATAACTAAAGTTTATTATGAGCTGGGCCAATCCCTGATTCATGGCCCATCACCCATTCCCCAAACCAACTAAGTAATTCACACCATGATTGATTGCAGCTCTAGTGAAAATTGCTGGTTGAATTTGAACCCCTACAATTGTGTCTAATTATGCCGATAGAGAGTACAACTGGTGATTGTATTTTTTATTAGGAATGGTTGATTTTAATGCAAACAATAGCAATTAGATGTATTAAAATTGTAAGAGTTTATTAAGCTACAGCTTTTATAAATCAATATTAGATAAAACACAGTAGATATTTTTAGATTATCATATCAAAGTGCCAGGGCTTAAAAAACGACTATCTACCATTAAAAAAAAGTTCATACCCTTTTGGTATGATAGCATTTTAGATGCAATTACATCTTTCAAAAAGTTAACCGAAAAATATATAAGTATTGCTCTTACTGAATAGCCTGACGTAGTCCGACTCAATTCTAGTCAGAATGAGTCTGATGCTGCTCCATAGAGCTGTGATTATGGGGCGTGTTTTGAACGAACCAGGAAAAAAATGCCTCTGTACTCAATTGGATAGACCTACAACCAATAAGAGCAACGGAGTGCGTGACGTATCTTAAGCGAGGCATAGTTGTTGTCCACAAAAATCAAAGCGTGCAGTTTCACGCCTAGAATAAGAAGATGAGACTTGATCGCGTTTCTCTGTTCCTCTTTTAAAATTAATTTGCTGTCGATATCTTCTAGAACAGACCTAATAGCAGAATCTACTCACCCAAACTCTCCAGCGGCAGCCATTATTGTTGTCACCCAAGCGCGCTTTGGTCACGTGGTTGATAACGTTACTCTTGATCATCTGTCCATCATCGTATAAAGCCCGCCCTGACAATTTGATTGGATCGCCTGACAGTGGGCTTTAATACTTGCGCTACTATGGAGCAGAGCCAGACCGAACTTCCCCGAACTCAAACCTTGTGGGCGGGACTAAGTTCGGACTGGCACCCAGGCTACTTACTGAGCTTAGTGGCCACCAATCTGATCCTCCTGATCTTTTGAAGAAGTTCGTCATCCATTATGCTTATGTTGTCAGCAGGAATGACACAAACCAGAACCTGCACTTTGTCATTGGGACTTGGACTGGTGTTGTAGAACTCACTGTCCTCAGATAATGGTGTGTCTTGATCGAACTGAAAGATATGTTTAGTTAAAGTTAGTAGACAGACAGACAGACAGACAGATAGATAGACCAGTGCAGTTTACCGTGTAACCTTCCTTGATATGACCCTTTAAGGCCAATGCTACATCTTCTTCCAAGACACCTTTGTGTGTGCTCAAGCCCATGATGTCATTAAAGACAAAAGAACAGAGGGATCCATCCACCTTCTGGATTTTATGGGTTGTGTACTGAATTGGACAGGTACAATAAGTTATACAAACAATTTCTCTTTAAACTGTTAAAGTTTGATGCAAACTTATCAAGGCAATAATTTCTTTGTACTCACAGTAAAAATAAACAGATTTATCAGGAGCTTTCATTCTGAACCAAAAACACATTCCGCTCTTTCTGATAATAGCTTTTAAATTCTTAAAGTAACATAATCTTTGCTTCATACTACCAGTAACAAATACATATCACAAGTAATAAATGGGGAGTCTTTAGACAAAATGTTATAATATTTTCTGTTTTAATTTTACTGAAGCTATTCTAATATTCTAAAATGATGCAGATACATTTAAATTGGATAGAAATGCATCTCAGAACAGAGAAGATAATCATCATTTTTAAATATAAATTAATGCAGGCTTACCTCTGTAGTAAAGGAATCGTGACCAGTGTTGTCAGCCAAAGCTTGTGAGTAAGGTCTACCAAGAAGGACACTTTGGACAGAGTTGATAAAGCTGGACTTTCCAGCTCCAGCAGGTCCATAAAGGAGAATTCTGAGTGTTTGACCTTCAAGCTGAGGCTTGTAGTTGTTCAGAAACCACAGATTGTCCTGGTTGTTACTAATTATAAAGAAAACACAGTGCACTGTAATTTTTCAAACCCCAGTGTGAATTCATTAATATCTGTCTTCTTCGTATTTCTTTGTAAGTCTGATTTGATACTGTATACATCATGGCACTTGTCTACTTTCTGGTTAGGTTATGTACAAAATATATATGTAATTTACAAATAAATAGCTTACTAACTTTTTATTTTCCTATCTTGTCCCTTCATATTTTCATACTTTGGTTTATTTAATAGATTATGTTACGTTATAGTTAAAGGAAACCATCAAACAAGAAATTTGACTTTGCAAACATGTCTATGAGATCCATGCATTTCTATGTTCATAAAAAACAAAAAAAACAACAACAGCACACATACTCCCAGTTTATTGTCCTCCAGGGTTCCGTAAGAACTGGAATAAATAACACAGCAAAAGAAAAAGCTGTTAAATTTACTACAAATATATTTGTAATAAATAAATACTAGATATTTCACTTTTCATCACAAAGTGTTGAACATTTCTAGAGTTTCTATAACTGTTTGCATTGCTGCTATTAAAGTGAAGGTTGTTTCTGGAAAGAGAAAGTCTGTTTCTTCAAAAACTACCATCCTACAAGTTTTAGATACATGTCTTCTCCAACACATCCCTCTAATTTTAAGATATCGATTTTAACGGTGAAAACAAAACAATGCAAATAGTTTTTCACATACCGTATTTTCACGACCATAAGTCGCACCGTACTAAAAGGCATATATCCTCTACTACGTTTAAATACCTCTACTGCGTATTTAAAAATAGAGCGGGAGCAAAACTGAGTATGTTTGCTTTATTCATGTATTTATTACAAAGTATTCATCAAACCCATCAAAGTCATCATCCTCTGTTTCTGAATTAAACAGCTGCACTAAATCAGAAATGCCAATTTCCCCTTCTTCGCTGTCAGAGTCACTTTCCGTGCCGCGCGGCTCCTCGGAAATGATGCCGGCTTTTGCGAAAGCTCGAACCACAGTGCCAGGAGACACGTTAGTCCAAGCATCAACAATCCATCTGCAAACTGTGGCGTAACTTGCCCGGCGCTGCCTTCCACTTTTCCTGAAACTGTGGTCTCCGTCTGTCATCCGTCGCTCCCACGCCGCTTGCAGCCTTACTTTGAACGGCCGGTTCACACCGATGTCGAGCGGTTGAAGTTCCTTTGTCAGACCTCCCGGAATAACAGCAAGAACAGCGTTCATTTGTTCCACCTTGTTTTTCACATCAGCTGTGAGATGGGCACGCATGGAGTCAAAGATTAACAGCGATGGTGATGCGTGGAAAAAAAACCACCTGTTCTCCTCACATACACCTCCCTCAGCCACTCTTTCATCATCTCCTCATCCATCCAGCCCTTTTCATTTGCCTTAATAATGACTCCAGCTGGAAAAGTCTGTTTAGGAAAAGTCCTTCGCTTAAAAATCACCATAGGCGGCAGTTTCTGTCCATTTGCGTGGCAGCCAAGCACAACAGTAAACGACGCTTTTTCATACCCCGTTGTGTGTATCGCTACCATCCTGGTCCCCTTCTTCTCCACCGTGTGATTCACCGGGATGTCGAAAGTGAGCGGCACCTCGTCCATGTTGGTGATGTGGCTTGGCTGGATGACTTTGTCAGCGATGTGTTTGCTGCAGAAGGAGTGAAAGCTCGCCAGCTTTTCATTATAATCCGCCGGACGTTGCTGAGCTACTGTAGTCCTGGTCCGGATGGAAAAATTGCACTCATAGGCGTGTCTCTTTGCCATTTTCAGGGTTGTTATGACAACAATGTTCTGCTTAAAGCACATACCTGTTCTTTTATACACAATCCACACCCACACTTCCCCCTTTAACGTTCTCATGGCGGTCTCAACAACGTCCGCAGTAACAACACACATAGGGTGCACCGCACTATAGGGCGCGGCGCACATTTTGAGGGAAAAAAAAGACGTTTATATGCGCCTTATAGTTGTGAAAATACGGTATCTTATCTCCTGTTTTAATGGAGAATAATGAATAGACCTCTGCAATGGAGATAAAACAATTACAAACAAACAAAGCTGAAATAACCACATTTTACCACTATTACAATAATGTTTCTTTTATGAACATTTTAAAACATATTTTAACATATCTAAAAAAAACTTTTTGTTTCTGTACCAACAAGGTCTGATGTAAGATCAGGGTTAAAAAAAAGTTTCAAATATGTTTAGGTCTTAGTGACATTCCTTTACAGCAACCCTCACGCTCCTCCCATCAGATGACGTAGCAGAGGTCACATAACATTGTGTCTTTTTGTCAAACTCTGAATGTAGTTTTATGTTTACACTCATATTAAAGATTGTGTATTATTTTGTTGAAACCTGTATTATTTGTTCTCACTGTTCCAGCGACAGCGTACTGCCGGTATGTGGGGGTCTGAGCGGCTCAGAGAGAGAAGTAATATTTGAATGCAGGATGGTAATCTGGATGAACTGACTGCACAGATGATGTTTTCAGGTGGATTTTCTCACTTAAAAACATATCAAAACTGCTTTTTACCCACTGATCACAGCAAATATAAAAATTCTGCTCTCTGCCATTTAACACAGGAGCAGCAGAAGCATCAGATGCATCTGGATACACTTTACTGGACATCTGGCCTTAATCTGTACAAGCATAAAAAATGAAGCAGCAGAAACCTTTTTGCGGCTTACAGCGCTTTCTGGATGCATGCAGCATAAAGGTTTCCGTTATTCAAGACGATATATGAATCCTTTTTAAAAATAGTTCATAAAACAGTTGCAAAAAAGAACAATAAGCTATACAGTACAGTAGACTTACCCGGGTTCTTCGAGTGAGATTTTCCCATAACTAGAAATCAAAAGCATATCAATTTGTGAATATCCTGTGTTTATTTTGTGCAGAAAAATACATATAGATTTTTGTTTTATTGCAAATTAATCAGAATAAAATTAATCACAAACATATTTTAATTACCCCAAATTGCTGAAGTTAAGGTAAAAAAAGAGAGCAGATACTTTGAATAAAAGAAGAATATTTCTAATAAATTATGGTTTGAAACAGACTCATTAAAACCTAACATTTGTCATGTAAATAAGTTCCTACCTATTGTCACCTGAGAAGAAGCAGACTCTTCACTTGGCAAATTAAGTCTGATAAAAATTTCAAGTCACCTTATATATTAGGTCATTCTTGGTTTCGCTTTTCAGTTTTAAACCAGTCTGACCTGCTTCCTTTAGATCATTCATAAAAACATAAACATTCTATGTTGCATTCAGTAGATGAAAGAAAAAAAACAAACGAATCTAGAGTTTACATATAGATCTTAGTAATCATTATGATTTTCACCCCAAATAATCCAAATGCAACAAGAAATCCAACAAATTTACTTTAACATTTAAAGTGGTTGGTGATAAGCATGGCCGTGGCGCAGGGGTAAAGGAGGTAACACGGATCTCATGAGTTTAAGTTCCGGCTCGTTGACCTTTACATAATATCCTTTAACCCTCATTGTTTCAAATCTTTTCTGAATATTTTCAAAAATGATAAAAATATAGGTCACCAGTGCCTAAAAATAAATGTATTTTTATCATTATCTAAACACCAAGGAACTGTGATTAGTTTAACTTATGGATCATTTGTGATTTATCAGTAAAAATCTCTTTTTGAAAACAAAATAATAAAATTAAGGTTATTTTTTCCCATCTATATGATAACATTTATATCATTCCTCTGTCTGTACTTTGTTTGGTTTGATCAGATAACATCCTGTCTAGACAGAGTGATTACATCTCAGGTTTAATAAAGCAGCTTAAAACAGATATGCTGTGTTACATTTGGAAATTAAAATCTGCTTTAAAGATTTTAGGAAACAGATCCTAGTTTTTTATCCTTTTTTATAACCTTGGTTAGAATCATAAGAAAGCTGGTGCACATCTTGGGACAAGTCTTCCACAGGATCAATACAGTTCACAATTACATTAACAACAATTCACGATACATGTCGTTTAAAGGCACTTTACTTAGACAATTCCTTCACATTATACAGAGATAATTAAAGCTAGAATTTAATGAAAGTTTGAGAAAATAATATATTAGAGTGTTAGGATTCCAGTTTGTGTGGGTTGTTTTTTGTGTTTTCCTCTCTCCACCACCAGGCGGTTCCCTGTCCTAGTTGGGCCTCCCTGCACACCTGCGGCTCGTTGGTGTCATTACCAGAGGAGTACTTGAGCAGCGGGCTGTCACACCTCGACACCAGAGTGTTTGCCAGTATTGGGTACTCTAGCCAATCTGAGATTAGCAGAGTCTAACCTTAGCATTGTTTTCTCTGAGTCTGATCTTGTTTTTTTGTCTTTGTTCTTTGGCAGGAAGACTTCCCATGTTACTGGATAGCCTGGGCCTTCTACCCCTGGAAGGATTTACTGAGTCTCACTGAGCAAGGGGAAAACCTCCACATGATCCATTTAAGTCCACTCCTGGAAAACCAAGTGACAGTCCGCTCCTTTCCTCCTCTGGGTCCAACGTATGTCTGCCTGTCCACTCTCCAATGAGTTCCCTCTCCTCTGGATTAAACCTCCACAAACTGGATCCAAGGATAAACCAAGAGCCCCCCCCAAAAATGAGTGCCTCTTCAGCAATATTCAAGCCTCAGTCTATTTTCCCACTGTCCCTGAACTGATCACTGTGATCTCCCCTTCAGTGTTTCCGGTTCCGGTTTACCAGTCCGCTGAGTTCCAGCATTGTTTCCCCACAGAGTTTCAATCTCCATCAGTGTTTTTCTAATCTACATTAAACCTGTTAAACTTTTACCCTTGGCCTCTGAGTGGTTGTCTGCATGTGGGTCAGATCTTTAAAGCCCACTATGACATAGAGAACTATAACTTGCTCCTTATATCTTCCAGCAGCCTGAACCTATGGCATCATAACAACAAAGATAACTCAGGGTAACATAAGCCATTCGAACTATAATTTGGCCTAGTCCTAATAGTAAAAAAGGTGTCTGCCTCACATGTTGTAATTATTAGTTTATTCCACAGGAGAGGAACCAGATAACTAAAATCTATATTTACCATTCTACTTTTAAAAATCCTAGTCACAGCCAGACTCAGAGATGGATGATGTGGAGTCACCAATTCATCCCTGTGCCAGAAAGTTGTTCTGACAAGCACAGAGATGACTTGATGACTCCACATCTCCAACCTCTGCCACTAGAATACCTGCAGACCGCAAAAATAGACTCCTATATAAGAATAAGATAATATAAGAAATTATCGCATCTCTGATTTAATATGGAGCCTGGTTATTTAGGGCTTTATATCTAATATCTATTCTGTATCTAAGCTGGAGCCAGTGACATAAAGCTGAAATAGGAGAAATATAATCTCTGTTAATTATATTCAGAAGTGAATTTTTTAACTAGATTCTGTGGACATCCTAATAGAGAATTATAAGTCCAAAACTGAAGTAAGTTATGCAGCATTAGGCCTTTTTTTAATTTAGCACGATTCCTCTAAATGTGTAGACCAGTATTTTCTCACCAGTTTCTTAGTGTTATGCTTCAAAGTGTGCAGCTCGAACCAGATAGACGCCTTCTAATGAATAGCTTTTCCCTGATAAAAAGGGAACAGGGTCTTCATAATTTAATGATCCACTAGTGAAATCTTATTTTGGAGAAAGATTTAAATGATACAAAAAAGTGTTCAGATATGATAGGATTGTTAGGAAGTACTATTGTTTTCCTTCGTAACCAATGCCATATATTAGCACAAGGTCCAAAGTATGAAGATAAAAATATGTGGATCTATGCACATTTTGAACAAAGCAATTGAGTCTGCCGATATAAAGATCCTGTTAGTATTTAACAGTATTAGAGTATTATACTGCTAGTATTGGAGTAAATCAGGGCACCAAGGAGACCTGGGAAGCAAGTCAGCACAACAGATTAAAGTTAATCCAGTCAAAAAAATACAAAATCAGGCTCCAAGTCTAATGTAGCTCCAATGAACAGGACAGAATTGTCTGGCAACATGGTGCTAAAACAACCAGGCTTTTGAAAGAAAGGGTTGATGAGCTGATGGAATGCAGGTGTCATAGTCTACAGCACCACAGTGCAATCATCCACGCCCCCTGACAAAACACTGCTCTGCTGAAAAACAATAGAGAGAACCACAAACCAAACCACAGCAGTTCAAAAAACTACTTCAAATTGACTTAAATTGTTACTCAGTTATAGTTTTATTGATATAAATAAGACTATTTGTATGGAGGTAGAGAGGGGGATAGGAAACAGTGGAGCAGCATGTTTAGCATGTTTACATAAAGACACCTGCGTCACTCCTGCTGAGCATCTTGGCTCTGCTCAAAGAACGCACACAGACGACTGTTACCTTTTCATCACTGTAGTAAGAAATTGTGTCTTTTTTCAAGCTGCTACACAGCGTACTACATGTCTAGATTACTCATTAAAAATACCTATATTGAACTAACAAACCTGAATGGGAAAACATTTTTTATAATCCTAACCAAACTAAAGAGGGGTGGGTTGACTACTGCAGCCTCTTGAGGGAAGGAATGTCTTCCCTACATGCCTTAAATCTCTAAACTAAAATTATAATTTGGCTTTGCCACTCTTTCACTCCTTGGTTTAAAGTTCAAATCTGAGTATTCTGTGTCTAAGTCCATTGCCTCTATTTCTCCTAGCTCAGGGACAGTTGCTGGTGGTTCCCCTAGATCTTGCTTGTTTACTAGCTCAATAATTTTGCAATTTGTGTCAATGACAAGTAGGGCTAGGTGAGAATCTGTTGTGCAAGATTAGTCTTTGCTGTCTTGAAATCTTTATCCTTACCTTTGGAATTGGGGGAAATAAAAAGCGGACAACAGAACCTGAAAATCCATTTCTGTAGAAAACCTTCTGAGCTGTTCTACTGTAAATTGTAAACCGAATATGCTTCCTGCAGTAACCCAAAACGACCAAAAATCCTGTCTAGTTTTGTAATAGCTGTTTTACTCTTCGCTTTTGGCAGGTTTAAAGTAAACTTGCCATCACATTCACAGAGATAAGCTGGTACTTTCAGCCAGGTCAGCTTGGGTACTAGTGTAGTGAACATAGGTTCCCTGTTTTGACTAGGCCAGTTGGTATTAAAGTGTTGACATGACTGTGAGTTTTCTGATATCTTAGCTAATCCTGAGCCACCAGAGTGCACCTTTGTAGCACTATTTACATTTGACCATTTCCTGTTGCCATTGGTTGGTCTTTTGCATCCTATCCTTGCGCAGACTGTCAGGAATGAAAATCAGTTTTTCACATCTTGCAACTTTATTTAGCCTGTTCAGTTCACCATGGTCATTGAAGTATGTTATCTGGGAAGATTCTCAGTCATGGTAAAGCTTTTAAAAGTTCAGTCTAGGCAAATGGAACTGAAGTTCATTAGAAGACGTTTCTCGTCTCATCCGAGAGGCTAGTAGTGGGGAGCACTGAAATTAGTTTACTGTAGGTCTACAGTGTATTAATCTGGTCCAGTTGCCTAGACTGAACTTTTTGAAGCTTCATTGAAGTATGGTTTTTATGGAACAGCTGTGCTTTAATGTGATGAGGCCAGCCATCCTTTAATGTGGATAACAACATTACTGCAGCACACTATCCTTTTTGTTTGTTCCTTTATTTGCTCCAAGACTGTCCTTTTCATAACGTTTCTCTATGACTTTCACGTATGTTTTTGGCTTCTTTTCCAGATCATTTACCCTTGTTCTCTGCAACACCTACCAGGACCAGGAATATATCTGCATCAACAAGGCTTCGTTGTGATTCCACAAACTTTTTCTGCATTCAGCCTTAGTTTACTAAATAATCTAAAATATCCAAAGCTGACTGAGCAAGTGTAGACTTGTCTTTGTTTAGCTTAATTTCACCAGACTTCTTGATAGACTGTGCTGTGTCTTCTGTTATGCTGCTCTTTTGTTTCTCTGAACATGAGGATGTCATCCATGTAAACACTCGTACCCTTATAATAACTACAATGTTTTTCTTTAAGATATTTCAGGTGCAGATGTGGTACTGAAAGGTCGTCTCTTAAAACAATCCCTCACCAGTTTGGTGATAAATGTTGTCAGCAGGGCAATGGCTTTTTCCAAGG